CAAAGATTTCATTTTATTTGGATCCACAATCAAGACACATGAAAGCAGCAGTCAAGAAAGCAGATGGCATATTGCACTGCTGCAAAAGACCCCTTTAAAGTGTTAAAAAGAAAAGATGTCACTTTGAAGATTGAGGTGCGCCTAGCTCAAGCCATGGTATATTCAGTAGCCTCAGATGGACATGAAAGCTGGACAATGAATAAGGAAGATCCAAGAAGAACTGATGCATCTGAATTGTGGCATTGTTGAAGAATACTGAAAATACCATGGAAAAACTAGAATACTTCAAGTACTAGAAGACAGAACAAATCTGTCTTGGAAGAAGTACAGCCTGAATGCTCCTTAGAAGAAAGACTGGCCAGACTTCATCCCATGTACTTTGATTGTGCTGGCAGAAGGGCCCAATCCCTGGAGAAAAATGTTAGCTTAGTTCTCCAGTGCTGCTGTAACAGAAATACCACCAGTGGCCGGCTCAACACAGGGGTTTATTAGTTTACAGTTCAGGAGGCTAGAAGTCCAAATTCAGAGTGTCAGCTCCAGGGGCTGCATGAAGGCCCCTCAACCCTAGACTTCACCTCTATTATTCTTATTCTAGACCCAATGAAGATAGAAGCACTTCCTAATTCAGACAGCTGCTGGTTGCTGAGGCTGGCGAGCCCAAGATCAGCAGATAAAATGTCATAATCTCAAGATCAGTAGGCAACATAGAAGTCCACAGGTTCAAGTCCCAGAACAATCCTGAGATCAGCAGGCAATAGGGCAGACAACTGGTTCAAGTCCAGGAATTGAAGATGAAGATTTGGTCAAATGTGCCAAACGCTTTTTTTTTCTCAAAGCTTGTCCTTATATGCTGGAAGCAGGGCACACTCTGAAGGCAGCTACCTGGCTGTTCACAGCAGATTCCACCACGGAGGTGATTACAATCTCATCATGACGCATAACTGCAGCCAGCTGTCCAGCCACTCGAAACCTCAGCCCAGCCACGTTGACGCACAACTTGAGCTACCATAGATACCATGCCTGGTAAAGTAGAGGGTCAGTAAAAAAGGGAAGGCCCTCAATTAGATGAATTGACACAGTGGCTGCAACAATAGGCAAAGATTGTGAGGATGGTGCAGGACTGGACAGTGTGTCATTCTGTTGAACACAGGGTCACTATGAGTTGGAACCAACTCAACAACACTTCACAACCAAAAAGGGCAGTAAGCATATATATGGACAATTTTGCTTTCTTCTGTGTATAGTTGTTTAGTCCTGTCCTAAGTGTTCCACTCCTATCTTGCATTTGCTCTGCATGTACTATCAGAGGTCTTGATCAGCCTTGGGGGATATCTAAAGACATGACCGTTGGGATGGAGTTTAATAAGCTCTGTCTTTGGAGCATTCATATGAGTATGTGCTCTCCACATCCCCAGAGAGCAATTAACTACAAAGCTCTGAAGTATGGGGACACGTTCCTTTCTCTTTCAAATAGACCCTCAAGGGCAAATATAATGAAATATCTCCAAGGAGAGAGAAAAACATCTCTCCCAAATTCACCCCCAGCCCCAGCCTTGAAACACTCTTCCAAAATGACCCCAAATGTAGATGTTAGTGGACACCAGAGGATCTTCTTAAAGACTATAACCTTTCTCCTTTCTCTGTATTTCTCCCTCCACTCACTCCTCTGTCCACAACACACATGACATGCTCAAGGTGATATTTCTATCCTTGATGAGCAAACCAGCCTCAAGCTTGTTCTCTAATCTCAATAATATTTTCAGGATTGGAAGCAGCTGCTTCAGCCTGAACAGACTTTTTCCAAAGCAGGACAACTCAAGACAAATATCAACTAACAGACAAACAGAATAGGAGAGAGAGGGTGAGTGTAATCATTCCTCTTTCACTCTTTGTCTTCAGACACATATTCATCTCAATTTATAGAGCACTCTGCATCTACAAGTCCAGACAGATGACCAAGAGGTTCTTTAACTTTTAATTTTTCTCCATGCATCTCTCAATTCTATCTGCCTTTCCCCAAATTCAGTCACAATCTTGATTCTATCTTTCTTCTCCTTTGATGAGCTTACTGAAATGTTCTTGAGCCCTCACACCTAGGAAAAGAATCAAGAGAGAATGAAATTCCTGAGCACTGTTATGCTCTTGGCTGCAGCCCCAATTATTAGTAAGTAGTCTGAAAATGAATCTGGAAGGGCTACAATCAGAACTGACTGTAGACTGCAGATGGAGTGTCTTATACCTGTAACATATTGTGCAAAATTTTGTATGTTTACTATACAATAAAAATATAGCCAGAATGCTCCTTAGTAGTGAGGATCGCAAAATTTTCTCTCACTTGTTTTGGACATACTATCATAGAGACCAAATCCTGGAGAAGGACATCATGCTTGGTAAAGTAGAGGGTCATCAAAAAAGAGGAAGACCTTCAATGAGATGGACTGACACTTAGATTTTAAATAATAATAGAAGAAGAACACAAAAAACACTTATAGAGCACTTACTATTAGCCAGGCATGCTGTAGAGGAGATAAACAGACGGAAGACAGATGATTGATAGGTGATAGATAGATAGATAGATAGATAGATAGATAGATAGAGACAGAAAGATAGATAGATAAACAGACAGACGGATAGATGGGTGGGTGAGTGGATGGATACACACATACATACATAGAAGCAGATCCTAATAATGAAGTAAATGCTATCATCATCTCTAATTTTCCAAGAATTTAAGTGACCTACCCCAAATCTATTAAATAGTAAAGCTGGGATTTGAACCCAGATGATCTAGATGCAGAGCCTACCTTCTTAATGGCTAAATATCTTAAAGAGCTCAGAGTGAAGACATATTTGAAATAGGAATCAAATAAGTATATTCATATCTAATATCTGACAATTATAGCATTTCTGTACACATATGGCCTAATTCTTTAGATTAAAAAAAAATCTATCTTTCTGACTGATCATTTCATAACCACATAGCTGAAACTTGACCTTGATCCTCCATTGATCTTCTCTTTCAATATTGAAACTTGAGAAAAGTACATAAATAGCATGTAGTTCATGGTATAAGTTGACTCATCTGGGAAACACACACTGTCTTCATAATACCTTTCACAGGGTACTTAGTATGCATCAGGCACATTACACATTTAGTCTTATTTAGTCCTTAAAACAAATCTGATGTAGATACTGTCACCCATTTTAGAGATAAGGAAATGAAAGCCTAGAACTGTTTAGGTATCTCAACTGGTATTACATGGCTAGTAAGATACTGCCTTGGAAACCCAAGGAGGGGTCGCTATGAGTTGGGTCCGACTCGATGGTACATAACAACAACAACAACAACCGTAAGTGCTGAAAGCATGAATTGGTCCTAAAGAGTCTGAATCCAAAGTTTGAGTCATATAAACTATATTATATTGCCTAAATAATTAAGACAATGACTAAAATTTCCTTCTTAGAGAGCAAGGAAGAATGATCATTGCATAAAGTTGTAACCCTCCACAATTTTCTGTCACAGTCCCCATACATTCTGTAATTATTGTTGAAACCACCTGCAACGTGGATCATTATTTTTATCCCAGGTCATCTTATCCTTGTGGTCTCTCAGAAACATGTCCATAGCCAAGGCCTGGAACAGCTCATCCGTGACCATGTTCATCCTCCTGGGATTTGCAGATCATCCAGAATGGCAGGTCCTCTTCTTTGTGACCTTCCTGGGTATCTATCTCATAACCTTGGCCTGGAATCTGGCCCTCATCCTTCTGATCAAAAGTGACATCCATCTACACACACCAATGTACTACTTCCTCAGCAATTTGTCCTTCATTGATATCTGCTACTCTTCTGCAGTGGCTCCCAAGATGCTCATTGACTTCTTCCGAGAGCAGAAGACCATATCATTTGTGGGCTGTGCGGCTCAATTTTTCTTCTTTGTCGGCTTGGGTCTAACCGAGTGCTTCCTCCTGACTGCTATGGCATATGACCGATATGCAGCCATCTCCAGCCCCTTGCTGTACACCACCATCATGTCCCAGGACCTATGTACTGGAATGGTGGCTGGGGCATATATTGGTGGCTTCCTGAGCTCCCTGATCCAGGCCTCCTCCATATTTCGGCTCCACTTCTGTGGACCCAACGTCATCAACCATTTCTTCTGCGACCTCCCACCAATCCTGGCACTGTCTTGCTCAGACACTTTCCTCAGTCAAGTGGTGTATTTCCTCATAGTGGTAGCTGTTGGAGGGACATCATTTCTCATCCTTCTTATCTCCTACAGTTATATAGTGGCTGCTGTCTTACAGATACACTCAGTGGAAGGCAGATGGAAAGCTTTCAACACCTGTGTTTCACACCTGATGGTGGTGACTCTGTTGTTTGGGACGGCCCTTTTCATGTACCTGCGACCCACCTCCAGCTACTCATTTGGAAGAGACAAGCTGGTATCTGTGTTCTATTCACTGGTGATCCCCATGCTGAACCCTCTCATTTACAGTTTGAGGAACAAAGACATCAAAGATGCCCTGTGGAAAGTGTTAGAGAAGAAAGTGTTTTCCTAGATCTTACATGAAACTATAACTCTCCCAATTGCAGGAGACAAAATGACCTCTGGTACCCACCTCTGCCTCTGCCTTGGGCAAGGGACACATTCCATGTTCAAGTTTGAAAATGGAGGCTCCCCCAGCCAGATTCTTTTCACCTTTCTTGTGGTCACCTGACCACTGAACCCACCAAGGAGAGCTGAAAAGGGGAAAGGATTTCCTCAGCAAACACAAATCTCCTTGACAGCCTATAATAACAATGCTGTTATTTGCCATTGAATTGGCTACAACTCATGGTTATGCCATGTACAACAGAACCAACCCTGCCCGGTTCTATTTCCTCTCCACAATCACTGATACGATATGCTCCAGGCCTTCATTGTGGCCAAGGCATTTTGAGTGTCTTTCCACCTACTGGGCTCATCTTTCAGTGCTATACTGGATAATATTCCACTGTGATCCGTAAGGTTTCCATTGGCTAATTTTTGGAAGCAGATCACCAGGCCTTTATTCCTACTTGGGAAGCTCCGGTGAAAAATGTTGGCCAGGGGTAATTCTGCTGGTATTTGAAATTCAGGCAATATCACTCACTTGCAACACACACACCACCATAGTACAACAAATTGACAGGTGAGTGGGAGATAATATCAATAATCAATCTTTATTAGGCACTTCATAGGTACTAGGCACAAAAGTTATTGAATTAAGGACTTCGTTATACCTAATGCTAGCCCTATGGTACTAACAAGGAAATGAGGTATCGGAAAGGAAAACTGACTAGTCCAAGGTCACACAGGAAGTCAGGAACAGAATTCAGATGTGGACCCAGGGTCTACCTGACCCAGAGCCCATACTCTGCTCAAATGCTGCACTCCATGTTCAACAACAAACAGCCCTGAAATTATACATGTGTGCAACTCTGTTCACTAATATGTGACAGAATCCCAGGTATACACCATGTATAAAGCAAACCAGCTCCCACAGCATTTACTCCGACTCACGATGACCCCACATGCATCAGAGTAGAGCTGTGCTCCACATCCACGGGGTTTCAATGGCTGTGATCTTTAGGAAACAGGTCACTATGACTTTCTTCCAAGGTACCTCTGGGTGGCTTCAAACCAACAACTTTGCATTTAGTAACCAAACACTTAACCATTTGTGTCATCCAGGGATTTCACCCTATGTATACCAAAAAGGAAAAATCAACTCATTGTCATCATGTAATGCTGGAAACTTTTCAGAAGCAGACTGCAACATCTTTCTCCCATAGAGCAGGGGGTGGGTTAGCAGCTGAGTGTTTTCACCACTGCAACACTATGGTTCTGTTGTTCTTAGATGCCATCAGCACAATTCCAACTCCTTGTGAACCCATGCATAACAGAATAAAACACAACCAGCATCACAATCATTGCAATGATTTGAGCCCATTGTTGCAGCCATTGTGTCAATTCATACCATGGAGAGTTTTCCCCTTTTTCCCCGGCCCTCTACTTCACCAAGTATGATGGCCTCCTCCAGGGACTGCTCCCTCCTGATAACATGTCCAAAACATGTGAGACAAAACGTCTCCATCCTCATTTCTAAGGACCATCCTTTCCATAATTCTTCCACAATAGATTTATTCAATCTTCTGGCAGTCTATAGTATACTAAATAATTTTTATTAACACCATAATTTAAAATCATCACTTCTTCTTTGGTCTTTCTTATTCACTGCCCACCTTTTCCATGGATATGAGCTGATCAAAAATCACAAGACTTTAGTCAGACAGACCTAAGTCCTCAAAGTGACATCTTTGCTTTTT